GGCGCGGAGCGGCACCGCGAGGCGGGAGACAGCGCCGAGCCGGAGCCGACACCCGGATCCGCTCAGCCCCGCGCACTCCCGGCTTTCCGAACGGGAGCGGGGTCTGCCGTGCCCCCCGCGCCGGGACCGGGCCGGCTCTTACAGAGACGCAATATCAGCTGGAGCGAAATAGCAACGCGCGGCGGGGAATGGAGCAAACGCGCCGCGGCCCGGGAGGAGCTGATCTAACGGTCAGCGTCCTGCTTTCGGGTACAGCTAATTCACCCCCAGAAACTGCAGAACAGGAGCGGATAAACTTTATTAGATCCCAAAGAAAAATAACTGGCGACAATTGTAAAAATACACAAAATAAAATAGAAGGAATGCTTTGAAGACACGACAGTCAAACAAGTATTTAACAAGAGTTAATTAAAGAAAAATATGACACAAGCAAGGAAAACTAAGCGCTGCCATAAAAAAACAGTTATTTCATTTAATTCGCATCCAAGGATTTAAAAAATAAAAAAAGTCTGCATCAGGAGATTAAAGACATTTGTCATTTAGGAGACACTCTTAGGAATGAGAGGCTGACACCTTCCTTCAGTCACATCTGAGTCGCTCGTTCTAGACTTTTTGCAGCATCTTTTAGTTTTCCAACTAAATCCTAAGAGATGAAAAACTGTCTTAGAATAAACGTATTTTTTAAAAGGTCAGCTACAGGAACATAATATATATATGTTGGGTTTTTTGTTTGGTTGGTTTTTGTTTGATTTTATTTTTTTAATTTTTTATTTTTTTTACACAGAGAGGCAAGGGAAACCGGCACCTTCTACCACAAAGAAACGTTGCAACTGATGAACAATGCCAGCAATTAAATAGCTCCCTATTTTACAATGTAGTAAGAAAAGTGGGAACTGAAGGAAAACACCTTTCAACATATATTTTCTACTAAAATAGATCACTACTCTTAAGATGTAGATTTTATTAGTATCATTACAATGGCTAATGCTGACATTTGCTGTAGGCTTTGAACCACTACATACATTTCTAAAATACTGAAGATATTTTGAGTGCAATTTTGTACTCGGACCATTCTCCAGCCAAAGCACATCAGATTTAACTAACTCAGCAAACCGATTAAAGACTCATTAGTAAGAAAAGGACGACTTCTGAGACACACATTAAAAAAAGCAGATGTGTAAACCTGAAGTTGTAATATCTTGCTCTTCCTCTCTTCCCAACCCCTCTTCCCAATCCTCCACAGTTTGGTCACTTCCAAGCATCACAATACCTCTATTGTTCAGTTACACATTTAAATCGCTAAACAAAGATACACGTTTGTTTCACTACATTTCTGACATGTCATTAACACCACTGAAGAGCCATCACTTCGTTCTCTATTTTTAACCATGACACACTAAAATCATTGAACCACCTTCTTTAATGATTTCTCTAAATCACAGGAAATCAGTGTTCAGAAAAATTATGTATTTCCTCCCATATATTACAGTTATGACAACAGACAAAATATTTATGCACATATGTAAAATACTCCCCATGCAACTAAAATCAGTTACTTTGCAACTTTATTCAAGAAGACAGGAAAACTACACTCAGATAATTTTTATAGATGATTCTCCCCTACCCTCCCAGCCCTGAATTTTTTTTTTTTAATAATAGTATATATGTTTTCATTTTGATTGGCAAGTTGTTAAAAACATTTACATCCATAACTAGAGCCAAGCAGAGAAACAATAACAAAGGAAAGAAGTACCTGTAACTGTTCCATTGTGCAACTAAAGCTCACATCTGGGTGTGATCCTGAATCACTGTTCTGAAGAAGAAAGAAAACCAACAACAATGCCTGTTTTATTAAAAAAAGATATAGTGAAATTGCATTTTTCCCTCTGAGGGTGCTGGGAGTAGAGTACCTCTACGTTTAAGGTCACCAAGTAGGAAGGCTGGTAAGTTTTATGAAGCTGGTTGCTCTAAATTAAAAACAAAGAGCATAGAAAAAAGTCAGGTCTCAGCACTCAAACAGCCTAAAGAAACACCTTGATGTGTTAAAATTACCTTGATCTGATATTCCAAGCGCCAAGACACATCAGTTATATGGAGAGGAGATCTGCCTATGCTGAAAGACAGAACAGTTACAAGTTCCCTAAAAAAAAAAGAAAACATAATTTTCTCAAGCTGTCCACCAGTAAAGAACTTTTTCACAATCCTTATAATGTTTCTTCAAAAGTTCAAGTCCCTGTAATATTTCTTGAAAGGTTCAGAATTCCAAAAGGAGGAAGATAAGTTTCAACAGCTGTTTTCTAAAGTTTGTTAAAAATGTACACTTAAAAAAAACCCAAAAAAACCAAAAAAACCCCAGTATTTATTACTTTCATCATCTAGAGTATCCATAGGTGTTTTCCAGGACAGTTTCAAAAGTAGCTGTAATTGAAACATGTACCTGTGCTGGCTGATAGACTTACCTTCCCAATAGGATTTCCAATGCATCCTTGTTTTTCTGGAGGGAAAATTCAAAAAAAAAAAGAAAAAAGAGAAAAAAAAATTGCTAGATTCAATAAATTCCTATGAGAGAAGGAAAACATAAACATGTTAAAATTGTTTTAAAAACCTGATATTCGGTGCAAAATTGTTCTATTCTCTCTTTGTCCAGTTTACAGTCCTCAAGACATGTGCTACAGGGAAAAATAATTTAGTTTTCTGTTAACATTAACTTAGCAGTAACTCAGTTGAAAGTAACAACCGCTAGAGAACTGGGGGAGCTTCAAAGTGTTAGTACCTTATAGCAGATATGTCGGCTTTCTGCTTCCCTGCCTCCAGAATACACGTCGCAGCCGCAGCATGGCAATGTTTTAGTACCGTAGGGTCAATATCTCTCAGGTCTGGATCGTCTAAAACAAATGAGTTACTGATGACACACCTACTTGCCAAACCCCAGCACTCGGTACCAAGAGGTGCCGCTCGCCCTGTGCACGGTACGTTTCCCACAAAAACTTCAAAATGAAACAGGTTGGGTGTTTCAGAGCGAAAGGACGGAGGAAGCAGGCACAGTGTGAGGAGGAGGAGGAGGAGGAGG